AGAGCTGTGTTTTGACCCGCGACTATGCCGCCTCATAGTCACCCAGTTGCCTTGCTGCGGAGGCTCTGTTACCGGAACCGAACAATGTACAGGACTCCCTGAGCTAGTCGCATCCAAAGCCGTATCTAGAGCCCTCACATTCTTACTGTCCTCAATTAAAGTTTGGATGCGTGTCTCTAATTCTGAAATCTTCTCTGTCAGCCTAACTATTTCCCTGCATTTATCACATGAGAATCCCTCGTCGCCAACAGAGAGAGATAAACTATACATGTGGCAAGCGGTGCAAACAACAATAGCAGGAGAAAAAGCCATTACTCACCGTGATTGATGAATGATTCTTACTTACCACAGTTGTTTGATGAACTTGTGAAAAAAAAGAAAAAAAAAAAGGAAAAAAAAACGGAGCGATAGAAAAAAAGAAAGAAAATAAAGCAATAGGCACGAATGGAAACGCTAATGACAAGCTAACGAATGCTAACGCGCTGAAGATGCGCTGCACTCGTGGTTTTAGAATAAAAGCGAACGATCAAATTAATCAGATTAGGCTGATAGATAATATCAGAAATATGGTGGGAATTAAGTTATATTTATCACTTTAAACAACAGAGAGTAATAGAGATTTTACAGAAAAACAAAGCTACACGAAGCTACAATCACAAACCAGCAGCACTGCAAACAGGAAGCAGGAATGAGGAATTCACATGACTCTTGTGTTGACCCATACTCGGAATTAGTGCTCTGCATTTATCCCATCCTAAGTGCACACACACAGCAGTGAACACACACACGGAGCAGTTGGGGGTTCGGTGCCTTGCTCAAGGGCCTCCTCCAAGAATACCTCAGTCGTGGTATTGAAGGTGGGAGAGAGTGCTGTACATTCACTCCCCCCACCTACAATCCCTGCCGGTACGAGACTCGAACCCACAACCGTTGGGTTACGAGTCCAACTCTCTAACCATTAGGCCACCATTAGGCATTCAGTTGCGTGCAAGTTCAAGATTCATAGATTTCACATCTGAAAGAGAGGCGTTTTCTGTGCATAAATTCATTCTACGAATCACACGTACGCATATTTGAGAGATGATCGTAAGATCAAATTTAGGATGGTTTCTGCGCAACATTTTATAAATGAGGTCTTTCATATCAACAACAATTTTCATATCTGTCGTTAAATGTTGATACATGTATGAATGTCTGAATATTTGGTCTGATTTTACACTTTCTCATCAACTAATATATTTTCAGCTAGAGAAAATTTGACAAATTAATGACTATAAAAATGAAATACGGACTAAATTATAAAGAATATTTTCATTAGTAGACAAAAAGTATGACTAAAAGAGGAAACTGTGTAAACATGAGCGTTATTTAATTAACAGTGGAGCGTTATTTAATTAAATTCTCTGCTATTGTGAATGTAATCGCTGACAGAGTTGCCAAAACTCACCACAGACGAATTTAGTAAACATGAGGGGCAATTCACACTTCTTCATTTTGTAGATCTACCAGACAAGGGATTTAAAAACAAGCCACCAAAGTGAGAGTAGCGAAGCAGAAAAAAGGCAAAGTCAGAGTGTTGTTTTTTTTTCTCTCTCACGCGAGGCGAATGTTAATATGAGTTTTCACGCGTGTCATTCCCTCTGCTTCGGTTTACAGGAGTCCTCCATCAAACGGCAGACACGGACCCTTGAAGCAGCCAATCACGTGGGTGTTGCTATAGTTTCCAGTGCCGTGACGACGGTGATTTCAACCATTCCGCTCTTTTTTTGTGTCATCGTGCCTTTCGCCAAATTCGGTCAGATTGTGGCCATCAACACGGCCATCTCCATCGCCTTCACGCTCACCGTCACGACCGCGCTGCTGGCCACGATGGGTCCTGGCGACTTCACCCGTCCTCCCAGAGCCGTGCTCAAAGCCGCTCTGGTGGTCCTGGTCGTGGGGGTCTGTGGAGGTGTGCTGTGGTGGACCGGGTCACAGTTCGCTCCGGACACACTGATCTGAATCGAGGAACCAGGGGGATTTCAAGAGAGCAACTGTGATTATTTCAGACGACATGTGTGAACTCTTTGGGAAGCAGGTTTGGGAAAATGCAGTATTTAACATACAGTGGTGGCCAAAATCATTTGAACACTAGTATTCTCAGCAGCTAAAAATGGTTTTAAGTCAGTTATTTCTATCTTTTTCTGTAGTGTGTCAGTAGGAAATATGAGTTTACATTTCCAAACATTCAATTTGCCATTAATTATAATATTCCAGTGAGATTTTTGTTTGCACAAGGAGTCTGACAACAGCCAGTGCTCC